CATAGGGGCAGCCATCTTGTTGCCACATGGGTGGCCATCTTGTGTGAGAGCATGGTAGTCAATTTGCATATTACCTCTTTATTATATAGGATTATTGACGACACTGGAGGCCCAGTGTCCTCTCGCACTCCGGGACCCCTCGAGGGATGTCTACCTGCTAGCTTGTGGCTGGATGGCCTTCTGCTACTGCACAGCCTGCTGCTTGAGTTTCAGCAGCTGCTGCATGTACATGGGGTAGGCCACCACAGTCTGTCCTGTGAACATCATCGAGTGGGTGAGTCAAGCATGGAGTCAGGCTCACCCTGAGTTCCCTGTGCCTCCCTGAGTCACTGAGTTGTTCAAACTGACTGCTTTCTATAGAGAAAGGCACCGGGGTCAGGCCTAAACCAGCAGTTGGACATCCCCCAAGTGATGTAGCAGTGTGCAAAGTGGCAGGCAGGCAGGGTGGAGCCTGAGTCAGGGTTGGGTACCATGCCACCCATGCTCATCATGGCCTGCTACATCGCAGCTTGATAGTGCTGCCGCAGAGTCAGGAGAGGCTCCTGCCATGGCAGCTGTGCTCGCAGCCATGAGCCCAACTTCTGGCTGAGTGGTGGGAGTGCACTGACCACCAGGGGGCAGCTTATGCATTGAGTGTTTGCCCCTGGGTGGTTAGTGTGCATCATAGTGACCCGTCTTTCCAGTCGTTCCACCATAATGGTCGCTTAGGCTTTTATTGTATAGATTCCCTATGCCATATTTTATATCCCTACTAGAGGCCCAATGCACGGATTTTTGCATAGGTGGGGTCCCTCAGCCTGGCCAGTGATCAGTGCTGATTGGGGACATTTTGCCCAGTCCTGATTGGGGCTAGCCGACCAGGGAGAGGGCCCATGCGAGGTTGTCTAGCCATGGGAGGTTGACTGTGGGAGTAGCTCCTGTATTGAGCCTGTGCCCCCTGGTGGTCAGTGTGAGTCATAGTTACCAGCTAGTCTTCCAGTCATAAAGGTTGCTTAGGTTTTTATATGTATAAATGAATATTCTATAAGCACCAATTTGTCCTTCTTAATCCCCTTCACCTTTTTCACCCACTCCCAGAATCTCCCCTCCCATCTGGCAATGGTCAAAATAGTCTCTGTATCTATGAATATGTTTCTGTTCTGCTTCTTCATTGATTTTGTTTTTTAATTCACTTGTTGATTGATAGGTATTTATTGCCATTTTATTGTTCATATTTTATCTCTTCTCTGTCTTCTTCTTTAAGAAGACACTTTAACATTTCATGTAATCCTGGTTTGGTGGTAATGACCTCCTTTAACTTTTCTTGTCTGGGAGGTTATTTATATGTCCTGCAATTGTAAATGATAGTTTTGCTGGGTAAAGTAATCTTGATTGTAGGCCCTTGCTTTTCATCACTTTGAATATTTCTTGTCAATTCCTGCTAGCCTGCAAAGTTTTTGTTAAGAAATCAGCTTGACAGTCCTTTGGGAGTTTCCTTATACGTAATTAGCTGCTTTTTTCCTCTTGCTGTTTTTAAGATTCTCTCTTTGTCTTTAACCCTTTTTCATTTTAATTATGATTTATCTTGGGACTCTTTGTATTTATCTTGTTTGGGACTTTCTGCACTTCCTGGACCTATAAGTCTATTTCCTTCACCAAGTTAGGGAAGTTTTTCATCATTATTTTTTCAAATACATTTTCAATTTCTTGCTCTTTCTTCTCCCTTCAGCACCTCCATTATGTAAATGTTGGTACCTTTGAATGTTGGCTCCTTACACTATCTTTATTGTTTTGGAAAATTTTTTTTTTCTTTTTGTTGTTTTGATCGGGTGTTTTTGCTTCATTATGTTCCAAATCGATGATTTGATTTTCAGCTTTATCTACACAATTGTTGATTCCCCTTAATATTAGTCTTCATATTAGTGGTTCCTTCAGTCCTGACTGTATTTTTTAATGGTTTCCATGTCCTTCTTTATGGTGTCCATGTCCTTATTTATGCTGCCAAAATTCTCTCTACTTTAATTACTTTTCCTTTAAATTTTTGAGCATCTTTATAACTAGTGTTTTGAATTCTGCATCTAATAGATTGCTTATCTCCTTGTGTTTAGTTCTTTTTTGGAAGTCTGTTCTGTTCTTTGATTTGGGAGGTGTTTCCCCTTTTTTTGGCAGCCTCCCTGTGTTTGCTTTTATGTATCAGGTAGATCTGTTTCATCTCCTATGCTTGGTAGAATGGCCTAATGTATTAGTTTTCCTGAAGGGTCAAGTGGCACAGCCTTAATCACCCACATTGGGCACTCCAGGTGCTTCCCCCCACCATATGGCACTTTGGTGAGAAGGATTTACCCCTAGGCCAATCAGTTACAAGGACTAGCTGTGACCACCAACCACTGTGGAGATCAGCTGTGCAAGGGCCAACCCCACAGAGAAGGACTTACTTCAGCAGGGCTCTGGTGCCCACAAAGTCGACCCCTTGAGTGTATCACTATGAAGTTGGTTGGGTGATGGTGTTTTGACATGGTCTGAAACTGTCCACTGCGTGTTCTGGCTATTGGGCCTCCAGGGAGCTGCAACCCAAGGTCGGCCACCACCTGTGTAATACCTGGGCCACCAGTCTTGAGCTACAAAGTGATCTTCAGATGGCTTCCACTTGTACTGGGTTTGGAGGTGCCCAGGAGAGATCAAGCTGTGAACCCTAGCCAGCCACTGCTAGTGTCTGGCTTGGGGTCACTTATCGAGAGTTACAGGGCTTCCTGAGACCAGATGCTGCTTTTAGGAGAAATTTTGGGAAAGTCTAAAGCATGAGCCAAGACAGGCCATTCTTGTGGAAAACCTACTGAAAACATCTTGGGTAGGCTTGGAAGTTGGGTTGGGTGGTGCCTCAGGGAATTACCAGGGAGGCCAACCTGTGATAGCCAGGTTTGGTGGAGACTCAAATATGGTGCTCGCCTTCCTGCTCCATGGAGGGAGGACTCATTCAAAGGAACAATGACTTCTGTCTGAGAGAAATATGTCCCCTAGTTCTCACCTTGATGCCAAACAATTCAGTTCCTTCTCAAATGTCCTTGATGCCTTTTGAGCTGCTACCCCAATTCTTGATCTGTAGCTCAAAGGGAGTGAATCAAAGTAAACTCACATGTGGGCCCTTTAAGAGGATCTGCCTAGGACTCCAAGAGCCCTCTGTCTTACTTAGTCATTATCTTTTTCTTTATGTTTGTTTTTAATCCTCACCTGAGCATAGCTTTCCACTGATTTATAGAGAGAGTGAAAGGGAGAAAGACAGAAAGAGACACATCAATGTGAGAGAGACTTCAATTGGTTCCCTATCACATGCACCATGACTTGGGCTGGGTATTGAGCCTGCAACCTAGTTATATGCCCTTGACCAGAATTGAACCCCCTTCAATCTGTGGCTGCAGTGCTATCCACTGGTTTTTACAGCCACAGTTGTAGGTATTTCTCTTCTTGGTACTGGAACCCTTGGCTTGGGGCCCTAGTGTGGGCCTATGCTTTTCACAGCTCAGGAGGGAGCTCTACAGCCTAGTTACTCCTCTGAATTTTTATCTACCACAGTGGGTGTGGGACAAGCCATTCTGCATATCTGGTCCTCCTACCAGTCCTGATGTGGCTTCTTCCTTAAATCCCTAGTTGTATGACTTTCCTTCAGCTAGATTTCAAGTGTTTTTCTGAATGATGGTTGTTCTTTAGTTTAATTTTAATTTTCATGTGGTTGTGGGAGGAGAAAAATACCATATTTACCTATGCTGCCATCTTGATCTAAAGTCTATTAATAATTAGATTATTTTGCTTTTTGATATCACCACATTGATACCTTTATTGTTAAGAAATTTTGTTCTATTTGGGGGATAAACATCTATCATTAAAATTCTTTTCTTTCCCTTCCATCCATGATATGAAGGTAAATTAGAAAATGCTTTCAAATTCTTCTTACGAAAGAAGAATTGCCACAGATACTCTTCAATATCTTGTTCCTCTAAATTGTTATCCGAGGACCTGCTACATGAGAATCACCTTGGGTGTTAAAGACAAAAATGCCTAAAGCATGTTCTCTACTAAGCTCACTTCAGCAACTGTGGCCCAGACATCTTATACTGAAACTAGAGGCCCAATGCATAAAATTCATGCACGGAGGGAGGGGGGTGCTTAGCTTAGCCTATGCTCTCTTGCAGTCTGGGAGCTCTCATAGAATGTCTAACTGCTGGCTTAGGTCCAGGGAGTGGGCCTCAGCCAGCAGGAGGACATCTTTAGCATGGCCAAGAGGTGGGAGAGGCTCCTGCCACCATGGCTAAGCTCTTCAGCATTAGCCCAGCTTCTGGCTGAGTAGTGCTCCCCCTATGGGCGCACACTCACCACCAAAGGGCAGCTTCTGCATTGAACATCTGCCCTCTGGTGGTCAATGTGCGTCATAGTGACCGGTCATTCTGCTGTCAATCAATTTGCATGTTAGCTTTTTATTATATAATATGCAAATATTATATAATAAATATTTATTGCACATTTCCCACATGATGCACATCACGGCTTGAGAACCACTACTCTAGTGGTGAGAATATTGTATTATATGCTAGTTGTAGGTTAAAGTATTTAAACCTGGAGAATATTAGACTTAGGCAGGCCACATAAGCTAACCTAAGCCTGGGTCACTTCACTCAAATCTATGAAAATGAAGCTTAAGACCAACCAATCAAAAGGAGTTAACTTGCCTTTCCCAAATAAGGCAACTGCATGAGCTATAGCCAGTCAAATAATTTCTTTGCGTTGCTTTGCTTCACTTCAGTGTCTACTCTATAAAACCTTGCCACTAGCTGTTGTTGGTGAAGCACTCCTAACCACTTCTCTATTCAAATTAAGGTATGATCAAAGAAAATCTTTAAAAATATATTAATGTGCTTCAGTTCATCTTTTAACAATGTCCATACACAATTACATGTGTTTGATAGCATTATATTTCCCAAGTGGTAGCTGGCTGCAACTTTAACTGGGATCTACTTGTCTCTCTCTAGGCTATGTGGCTGATGTTGCAGAATGACGAGCCAGAGGATTTTGTCATAGCTACTGGAGAAGTCCATAGTGTCCGGGAATTTGTAGAGAAGTCATTTTTGCATATTGGAAAAACCATTGTGTAAGTATACCTGAGGCTGATTTCAGGTCATTCATCAAACATTTTCTGGCAGGTTTGTATAGATGCTTGCTATTCTACCTTGGTTTTGTGTTTTTCCCTTTTTATTCTCTTGTAAAGCAATGTAGGGAGTTTTAGCATGGAGCAGGGACTTTCTTATTTATCACATATCCAACTCTACTTATTTGAAGTGTTTGTCACTATTTGAACAATCTTTTCAAAATTTCTTTTATCTTTTTTTAATTTTAAATAGTTTTACTTTTGAAAGACTTTAATTTTTTATGATATTTTATACTAGAGGCCTGGTGCACAAAATTTGTGCATAGGGTGGGGGGATTTCCCTCAGCCCAGCCTGAACCCTCTTTGATCTGGGATCCCTCTCACAATCCAGGACTGCTGGCTCCTGACTGCTCACCTGCCTGCCTTCCTGATTGCCCCAACTGCTTCTGCCTGCCAGCCTGATCACCTCCTAACCACTCCCATGCCAGCCTGATTGATGTCTAACTGCTCCCCTGTCAGCCTGTTTGCCCCCAACTTTCCTCTGCTGGCCTGGTCATCCCTAACTGCCCTCCCCTGCAGAGTTCATCACCTCCAACTGCCCTCCTTTGCAGGCCTGGTGCCTCCTAACTGCCCTCCCATGCTGGCCATCTTGTGGTGGTCATCTTTTGTCCACATGGGGACAGCCATTTTGTGTGTTGGAGTGATGGTCAATCTGCATATTACTCTTTTATTAGATAGGATAGAGGCCTGGTGCATGGGTGGGAGCCAGCAGGTTTGCCCTGAAGGCTGTCCCTGATCAGGGTGGGGGTTCCCTTGGGGTGTGGGGTGGCCTGGGCGACAGTCCTGTGGTACTTTGCAGGCTGGCCACACCCCCTGTGACACAAGCGGAGGCCCTGGTATCTGGAATTTATTTATCTTCTATAATTGAAACTTTGAAGCCTGGAACAGGGTGAAGTATCCTGCTTGCTCCAGGGCTTTCAGTTTGTATTTGTTTACCTTCTATAATTGAAACTTTGTGTGGAGGCCTGAGCTGGTCAGGGTGTGTGGAAAGCTTGGCTTCCTCTAATGCCAGGAAAACTTAAGTCTTTCATCTGCTCTCTGTGGCTGTAGCCATCTTGGTTGGGGTTAATTTGCATACTCACTCTGATTGGCTGGTGGGCATGGCTTGTAGTGTAGCAATGTGATGGTTAATTTGCATATTATTATTTTATTATGCAGGATATGGTATACTATGATATTACTGTAGCTAATTGTACTCTTACCTGTCAATATGATAATATTACACAATCTTTTTTTTTAATACTTTCTATTTACATTTTAAAACTAGAAGCCCAGTGCACAAATTCAATGCTGGTAATTTCAGCCAATTGGAGCTGGCTGGCTGGGGGAAGGGACTTCAAGATGTTGACCAGCTGTGGGAGGTTTGCTGTGGGAGCACACTGACCACTAGGGGGCAGGTACTGCATTAAGCATCTGCCCCCTGGTGGTCAGTGCATTGTCATAGTGACCGGTTGATCAGTAGAGCAGTCAACCAGTCATAATTGTCACTTATGCTTTCGCATATGTAGATTTTTAAACCCATTGAAAACTTAAAGAAAAGTTTCAATGCATTACAAACAATCTTCTTTTCTTTGAACCATTGAGAGTAACTTGCCAGCCTGGTGCTCCGTCACACAGGACTTTTGTGTGTATTTCCCATAAACACAGACATTTTCTCACATAAATGTAATACAAACATTAAAATCAGGAAATTCACCATGATAAACTGCTACCAACTAACCATCATATCTGATTGGAGTTTTGCCAATTGAGTGAATCCTACACTGTACAGGGTTGGGCAAAAGAGGGTTTACAGTTGTGAATACATGAAACAGAGTTTATTCTTATATTAGTATTTCTTAGTTATTGTATTATAAACCTATTTTGCATATGAAAATGGTCTAGTTTACACTCATTTACTACATTCACTTGTTGCATTAGAAAATTTTGAAGGCAGATTTCTGTTGGAATAGTTGAAAAATTTGTGGGAAACAGTATACATGGAAGATTGGAAGATTCTTTTGTGTCAAAGTTTTTACTATGGTAAAATATAGATATAACAAAAATTATCATTTTAAACATTTTTAATAAGTGTTTTATTTTTAATTACACTTAAAATTTAATTTTATATTAATGTCAGGTGTACAACATAATGATTAGACATTTATATAATTTTAAGAAGCTACCCCTGATAAATTTAGTGCATGTCTGACAAAGTATATTGTTATTACAATATTATTAACTAAATTTCCTTTACTGTATTTTACATCCCCATGATTGTTTTTATAACTAACAATTTGTACTTCTTAATCCCCTTCACCTTTTCCACCCATCTCTCCAACTCTTCACATTTGGCAACCATCACTTTGTTCTCTGTAATTATGAATTTTTTGTTTGTTTCTTCATTCATTTTGTTTTTTAGGTTTCACATAATTAAGTTTATATGGTATTTGTCTTTCTCTGTCTGACTTATTTCATTTAACATAATACCCTTTAGGTCCTCCATCCATGTTGTCACAAATGGTAATATTACATTTTTATGGCTGACTCATAGTCATTTTATATGTATATCACTTCTTTATTCAGTGCTCTCTCAGTGGGTACTTAAGTTGTTTCCATATCTTGGCTAGTGTAAATAATACTACAGTGAACATAGGAATACATATCTCTTTTCAAATTAGTGTTTTGGATGTCTTTAGATAAATACCCAAAATTGGAATTGCTGGGTCATATATTAGTTCTATTTTTAATTTTTTAAGGAACCTCTGTGGTGATTTCCATACCACTGCACCAATTTATAATCACACCAACAGTGCATGAAGCTTACCTTTTCTCCACTTCCTAACCAACACTTAATGTTTGATGATTTATTGATAATATCCCTTCTGACAGATGTGAGGTGGTTTTAGCATACATTTCTTTGATGATAAGTAAAGTTGAGCATCTTTTCAGGTTTAGGCTTTCTTTAGAGAAGTGTCTATTCAGATTCTCTGCTCATTTTTAAATCACATTGTGGGGGGTTTTTTTTGGTGTTAAGTTGTATGAGTTTCTTATATATGTTATATCCTTATCAGATGTATCATTAACAAATATCTTCTCCCACTCAGTAGTGTTTTGTTGATGTTTTCCTCCCATATTCCAAAAGTTTTTAATATGATGTAATTCCATTTGGATTTTTTGTTTTTGTTTTGTTTGTTGTTTCCCTTGCCTGAGGAGAGTTATCAATATATATATATAACATTGTTAAGAGCAATGTTAAAAAGTGTTTATTGACTTTGTTTTCTTCTAGGAGTTTTAAGATTTCAGGCCTTCTATTTAAATCTTTAATTCATTATGAATTTATTTTTGTGTACTGTATGAGAAATTTTTATTTTATAACATGTATCTGTCTAATTTTCCCAGTACCTTTTATTGAATAGACGGTCCTTACTCCATTGTATATTCTTGCCTCCTTTGTCATAGATTAATTGATCATGTAGGCATGAGTTTATTTCTACACTGCCTATTCTGTTCCACTGTCTATTCTGTGCCTTTTTTTAATTTAGTATCATACAGTTTTGATTACTGTAGTATAGTTTGCTATCAGATAGTGTGATGCCTCCAACTTTGTTCTTCTTTCTCAAGATTGCTGTGGGTATTCAGGGTCTTTTGTGGTTCCCTGTGAATTTCAGAATTATTAGCTCTAGTTCTAAATAAAGTGTCATTGGTATTTTGATAGGGATTACATTGAATCTATGGATTGCTTTCAGTTTTTTGGACATTGTAATAGTGTCATTCTTACAATTCAAGAGCATGGTTTATTCTTCAATTTATTTATATCTACTTCAGTTTCTTCTTCATTGTCTTATAATTTTCCAAGTTCAAAGATCATTTGCTTCAGCAGTTAAACTCATTCCTAGGTATTTTTTATGCAATTTTAAGTGGGATTGTTTTCTTAATTTTCTTTCCGATAGTTCCTTGTTGTTTTATAAAATGCAATCAAGTTGTGGATTTTAATTTAATTATGTATCCTTGCTATTTTACTGAATTAATTTATTATTTCTAATAGTTTTTTTTTTTTGGTGGAGTCAGTGTTGTCTCTGTTATTATGTCATTTGCAAAAAAAAAAAAAAAAAAAAACAATGACAGATTTCTTTTCCAGTTTGGATGAATTTTTTTTAATATACATTTTATTGATTTTTCATAAAAAGGAAGAGAGAGGGATAGACAGTTAGAAATATCGATGAGAGAGAATCATCGATCAACTGCCTCTTGCACACCCCCCATTGGGGATGTGCCCGCAACCAAGGTACATGCCCTTGATTGGAATCGAACCCGAGACCTTTCAGTCCGCAGGCCGACGCTCTGTCCACTGAGCCAAACTGGTCCCGGCTGGATGAATTTTCTTTATTTTCTTCTTTGATTGCTGTAACAAGGACTTCCAATATTATGTTAAATATAAGTGGTAAAAGTCGACATTCTTGACTTGTTACTGATCGTTAAAAACAAATGCTCTTAACTTCATCATTGAGTATGAAGTTAGTTGTGGCTTTGACATATGTTACCTTTATTATGTTGAGGTACATTCCCTCTATTCCCACGTTGCTGAGATTTTTTTTATCATAAATTAATAATTTGTGTATAAGTGTTTGTTCTTCTTTGAATGTTTGGTGAAATTCAGTTGTGAAGACTAGGACTTTTGTTTCTTGGGAGATTTTTGGTTACTGATTGAAATTTATTAGTAATTATTGATCTGCTCACATTGTCTTCTTCATTCAGCCTTAGAAGATTATATATTTATAGGATTTTTTTTCCTTGTTACATTTGTTAGCATGTACTTGTTCATACTATTTCCTTATAATTTTTATATTTCTGTGGTGTCAGTTGTCACTTATGCTCTTTCACTTGTGTCATTTCTCCGTATATATATATATATATATATTTTATAAATCTGATTAAACGCTTATCAATTACATTCATCTTTT